GGAGATTTGTAATAGTACGGCGGTGGAGGTGACGGAGACGGTGGAGGAGGAGACTTGTAGTAGTATGGTGGTGGAGGTGAGGGTGATGGTGGGGGCGGAGATTTATAATAGTAAGGCGGTGGAGGTGACGGAGATGGTGGAGGAGGAGACTTGTAGTAGTATGGTGGCGGTGGTGAGGGCGATGGCGGTGGTGGAGATTTGTAATAGTATGGCGGCGGAGGTGACGGAGATGGTGGAGGGGGAGACTTGTAGTAGTATGGTGGTGGGGGTGAGGGCGATGGCGGTGGTGGAGAGTTGTAATAGTACGGTGGTGGAGGTGATGGAGATGGTGGAGGGGGTGACTTGTAATAGTACGGTGGCGGAGGAGACGGTGAAGGCGGTGGAGGAGAGTTATAGAAGTAAGGTGGAGGCGGAGAAGAGTAATTATAAGGATCTCCCGATACCGTACTCGAAGCGGCCAACACAACCAGCGCCACTAGGAGTCGCGGCGGTAGACGACCTCTCTTGGGGTCGCCGCCGCCGTGAACCACCATTATGCCCCAAGAAAAACGCGCGCACCACCAGTGCTAATAGTTAGTTAAGCAGACTTATAATTGCTACACTTAAAAGGCACACTTATATATCTACAAGGCCTTGGAACATAAGCATCTTAGGTGAGTGAGTAGTGGTGATGACGAGAGATATCCCATACCCAAACTATTTATAGTGAAAATATCGTTCCAAGTAGTTGTTGGTATGGCGCTGTCAAATGGGGACCAATTCTGGCCATTTATTAATCAAAATTGTACTGTAATATTTTATCTAATGCAGGGTGTTAGACAATTTTACTCGTTTTAGAAAGAAATGAAAATTATTTAAAAATAGAAAATCTACCTATAATTATATTCTAATGACAGCTGGAGATCACAAATGTTTAAACAGACCCTCTTAAGAAATTAGATCACTTTGAATTTTCTTTGTATTATCTCCACGGTACGTCCACCAGCTCATTAACTCTTGAATTGCTTTTTTTGAAAGAAAAAAAAATAATACACACCTCTTCTTGGCGATCAAATTTGATCATTTTTGCTTATTTTATAGGCAAATTCATTTATGGCTTTTAAGTTTTAAGTCTACACTCATTTTATGATAAATATATATTGCACACTCAGTTGTACTTAGATGAAGAAAATAATAAGAAAGAAAATAATCTATATATTGAATTGGGTTGTGGAATACAAAGAATTAATCCCCTTTATGTAGGAGGAGAGAGCAAACAAATAAGTAAACTATCATAATTCTACACCTACCATTGATCTATTCCTACCATAATAGGAATTACAATGAATAAGGTATGCAATTTGCAAATCAATATTTTTCCTTTTTGGGTTATGATTCCATACGCCAACACCCCCCAAGCCAAAGCCTTCGTAAAAAGATCTGTCGGTTGTCAGCGATGGATATATGCCTAGCACACAAAACACCCTTTTGAATTTCATCACGCACAAAGTGACAGTCAATCTCAATATGTTTTGTGCATTCATGAAAAGCTTGATTACCCGCAATGTAAAAGCAACCTGATTATAAGAAAACAAATGCATGGGCTATTTAATTTGTGACACACTCCAAAAGACACAAGAAGAGATTTCAACCATTTTAATTCACAGATTGTGGTTACCATGGCACTGTACGGTACTCACCCTCTGCAAAAGTCTGGGAAACTACGTTTTGCTTCTTCGTACCCCAAGACACTGGGAAATTGCCAAGATAAATGAAATAACCTGTAACAAAACGACGTGTCAAAGGGCAACCAAGCCCAATCAGAGTCACAGTAGGCCTAAAGAGTGAGATCACTATGTGCAGGGAGAAACAATCCTTGTTCAGGATTGGCCTAGATGTAACGCAAAACTTGGGGTGCACCATCCTAGTGTTCCTGTCGAGGTTCTCACATAAACTGAGACAACACATGGACAATGTACGCCAGATCTGGGCAACTAATAATAGTGATGTAGATTAAACATCCAACATAACTACCCGATGATAACGCGTCGAATCAGGCAGTAGTGGACCATTTTTCAATACCAGGCAATGAGTTTGAGGAAGAGGAGTGGTAGCCAGACGTGCACTTAGAAATCAAGTCTCACAAATAATATCAAGAGCATATTTTCGTTGACATAAAAACATCCCTTTGGAATTCCGATCAGGGCAACCTCAATACCAGAAAGTACTTTAGTGGGCCAATGTAATTCATATGGAAGCAATCAGAGAGATATTTTTTTAAACCGACCAACAAAAGTCTCATCATTTCCTGCAATAACAAGATCATCCAAATACACTAGTACACGAAGCTCAATGGAACCACACGTATAATTAAGAAAGAATAATCAACTTTAGATTGTTGAAACCCAAAGTTCCTCAATGAAGATGTAAGTTTAGCAAACCAACATCGTGGGGCTTGACGAAGACCGTAGAGAGATTTATGAAGATGGCAAACTAACTCATTCCCCCGGGAAGCAAAACATCGGGGAAGAGTTATGTAAATTTCATCCCGTAGATCATATGTAAGAAAGGATTATGAATGTCCATTTGATGTAGATACCAGTTGTAGGTAGCAGCAACTGTTAAAAGAGTTCAGACGGTAACTAGTTTGGCCATAGGAATAAAAGTTTCTTTGAGATCAATTCCTTCTTCCTGTCGGTTGCAAGGACCACTAATTGAGTTCAGGCTGACCCAACAGGTTATGCCTTTCATTTATTTTTTGAAATTTTAAGCAATTATTATGATAGATTGTTAATATAACGAATAAGAAAACTAAGGCTCCGTTCCGTTCAACTTATTTTTTCTGATCTGATCTGATTTTAATAAGTTCTGATCTGATCTGATCTGATTGGATCTGATCTGATCTGATCTGATTGGATCTGATCTGATCTGATCTGATTCGATCTGATCTGATCTGATTCGATCTGATCTGATCTGATCTAGTCTGATCTGATTAATTATGATTTGAATTAAAATTCAAATCTAATAATTTGATTTGACTTTATCATAACGTTTGAAAATTGTAATGATAATTCATATTATAATATAATCAATATTTTTATTTTATGATTAGTTTTTAATAAAATAAAATTAGTTAATTCATAAATTAGAATGATCATTCATACTATAATGTAATAGTATTTTTTATTTTATAATTATTTTTTTGTGAAATCAGAATATTAATTTAATATTTTAATAATTACTTCATATATACATTAGAATAAATATTTAATTTATATATACATTAAAAAGTAATTAAATTTAGATAATCAATATATAGAAGAGATAGTATTTTTATTAAAATATCTCATCGTTATAAAAGATCAAAACTTTAGAAACTCAAATTACAAGTAACAATAAAAATATATTTTAAAAATAGAATTAGATTGACATTGTCAATGTATTTTAAAACTAATTTTTCTGACGTCTAATAATTAAGGATTACTTTCTTAGTTTTCTATTTAACCTGTTTCTAAAGTTTATTCTTTTTCGTTTTTAAGAACAATAATAATAATAATAATAATAATAATAATAATAATAATAATAATATAATAATATAATAACAATAAGAATAAAAATAATGTTAATAATAATAATAATATTATAATAATAATAATAATAATAATAATAATAATAATAATAATAATTTTTGAAGGGATCTGATTTTAATAAGTTCTGATCTGATCTGATCTGATTGGATCTGATCTGATATGATTAAATCTGATCTGATCTGATCTGATTGGACCTGATCTGATCTGATTCGATCTGATCTGATTCGATCTGATCTGATTCGATCTGATCTGATTCGATCTGATCTGGTCTGATCTGATCTGATTTTAATAAGAATAAGAAAAAATAAGAAAAAAATAAGTTGAACGGAACGGGGCCTAAATATCCAGAAAGTTTTGAAAAAAAGTAATATAATTCTGCGATATCTTTAAAATTTTGTATGAGTATATAAATTTTTACATTAAAAACGAGTAGTAAGCAAAGAAATATATTTAAAATCTTATTTTTATTATATTATATTACATATTAAAGCATATGATTTTGAAAAATTCTTACATTAGCGGGTTGGTCATGTCGGGTTCAGGTTCGGTCAGGTTTGACCCATTTTTAACGGGTAATTTTGGTTTCGGTCAACTTCTTATTTGGTCAGCAAAACCTTTGTTCAAAACTCATTACTTTCGGGTCGGGTCTCGAGGCAAAAATAGGTCAAGTCATTTTTTGCTAGGTCTACTTTTATGTTATGAACTTGTGTCGTTTCCTTAGTCGAATTTAGGCAAGATAGTCACATTTGTAAATTAAGAGAGGAGTACAACTTAGCTTTGTTGGAATATACTTTTTTAAGATTAATTTGCAATTTTGAAAGCTTAATCCATAGAAAAAATAGATAGTTAAACACTCAAAATTGCATTTTGATAAAGTAGAAACTCAAAAGATATTTTCAAATGTATTCCCAAACACTCTCTAAATATACTCTTTTCCCATAAATTAAATTTACATTTTTCATTTTCATCTATTTCAAAATAAAAAATATGCTTCTTTTTTAAAAAAGAAAAAATTATGTGTCTTACAAAATCTTTCTCTTCTAAACAAATTTCCACTACACACTTTTTAACTTTTCAATACATTTTTTTAAAACTTTGAAAAAGAAATGATACCAAGTACGAATAAAACATGATCAATGTACCCTTTTGGTTTGGATACGGGATACCCCAGTGTTGAGGTATAAGCCCATGTTTTTATATATGCCTAGTTTTGTATGGGTGGTCAACCTCAGCCCAGTTCTCAGCCCATAGCCTCAAGGTCAATTGGGTATAAGCCCATGTTTTTATATATGCCTAGTTTTGTATGGGTGGTCAACCTGAGCCCAGTTGTCAGCCCATAGCCTCAAGGTCAATTGGGTTGAGATATGTAATTGCCCTCGTAAGGTCCGCTGGTGGGATATGACCAAGGGTCATCTAAGTGTTATAACCTGGCCTTGTGGAGTCATTAATAAGTATAAGTGTATTCAATCTAGATTTTGTAAGATTTTACTTTCTCTCTCCCAGATTTTTGTCAATTTTTTCTTTTTGAGTCGTCTCATATTATTTGTCCACTTTCCATTTTAAGTAAAGAAAAACTAAGCAAAGGACAATTCTACCCTCACTCTAATTCCGGTCTTTTCGATTCACACACACTTTCCCAAACCCTCCCCGTTCATTTACTACTCTGTCCACTTTTGTTTTATCATCTCTCTCGCTCATCTATTTCCTCCATAAATAGGCAAACCCTAGATCTCCACATCATAAATCTTCTCAAATCGTAAACATGACATAGCTCGCTTGTGCTTTGGTTATCTTTTCCGACAATGATTTTGCTTTTTTCTTCCCTGTCAAGAACTAGATCTAAGATGAATTGGAGTTTCTAATTGGAGTGATTTCTTATCAATTTTGTTTTTTTTAGTTTGAAATTGAATGGTTTTCTTGAGGACAAATGGTGGAGGATGTTGCTAAAGAAGGGTAGGATGGGTGGCTGTTGCTGGGCAACGAATGGTGGTGAAAATTGAGTGGATGGTGGCGGCCGCGGAACAACAGGGCGGGGGCAGGTGGACGGTGAATGATGGTTGTAGAGGTGGGTGGGTTATCTCTGTGGTATTGAATTGCCGTGCAAGATGGGAGAAATAAGGGCAATTTAGTCATTTACCTATCTATGTTGGTTTGAGTACAAAAACAAATGTGGACAAATATTGGGGGACATAGCGAGTAATATATTGTTTAGAATTAGTCGGTTC